GTTGTGGTTTGTGTCTAGTTATGCCACCAAAGCCTCATGCATTCATGGGGTGGACTTCTAGAATTTTTGATTAATTTGATTAATTTTTGATAATTTAATTAATGCTGGGTTGATGGGTGTGAGTGATGCTGGGATTATGGGTGTGAGGACTACACGTGGCTTGGGGCACATAGCTTAAATCTAACTAGTTCTGCTTTTCTGGTTAAATCTCAAATAATACAATTTAAAGATAACTTTTAAAAAGCATACTAATTTAGCTCTTGTTTTTTATAGTCATACAATCATCATTTGATTACTAACTTTTTAAATCAGGACTGGTAAATTTGTTCTATATTTTTCCAGCAAAGAGTCAGTCAATACAATGGACTTTGTAAGCAATAAGTTCTCTATTAAAATTATTTAATTTTGCCATTGGGGTATGAAAACAGTTATAGACTATAAACAAACTTAAATATGAAATGAAATTTTACTTATAAAAATAGGTGACAGACTATATTTTAGACAAATGACTGAACTTGACCCAACTAAAACTGATTACATAATTTAATTTTATTCAAACTCCTTTTTATTTACTTTGTCAATGCATATTTGAAATGAAGATATACATTCTTTTAAAATAAATTTATGCGTTTGGGTCTCAGTATGCAATTCAGGCTCATAGTGATCCTCCTCTTTCAGTCTCCCCATCACTGGGATTACAGGCCTGCACCACCACACCTGGTTTCAGTGGCTGGCACGGTGGGGTTCCAGGGCCAGCCTGGCATGCGGTACTGGGGATTGAACCCGAGTCCTTGTGCTTTCCAGGCCGGTACTTAGACTGCCAAGCTGTGTCCCCAGCCCACAGATGTATATTCTTAATGCAAAAATAATCTTTTAAAAATAAAGGTAGAAGAGTAGATAAAATAGTACTGCTACTTAAGCTACTGCTTGGCTCGCAGTCTGTCGTTGCTTGGTTTCCGCTACTACTTGGAAGAAAACAATGTGATTCTGTGTCCAGAGAATTTTAGACAGAGAATGAGGCTCAGTCGTTCAGGATTTACCAACAGGGAACTGAGTCACTTTGGAACAAGTTATGTAAGTCCGCCGTAGCTCCCTGTGCTCATCCACTAAACAAATGATTTGGTCCATGTCCTTTCGAAAGTCTGTATACATCTCAAAAATTAGGGACTTAAAATGTTCCTTCACAACCCTCTGTTCACTTTTCATAGCTTCGTCTCCTCTTTATGTTTCTTAACGAAAGTTTAAAGCCTCACTTCGATTATTTTTCTTTTTCTATTTGCTTTCTTTAAACAATTGACATGTGGGTTAGTTTTCACTCCCAAATCTCATCGTGCTTTAAAATCTAAACACCTGTGAATTTCCAAACCCAGTTAAGGCCTGGGATTTACCTGGCTGCTTACCGTCTTCAGTCACATCACCTATTACCACACAACGTATGTGTGTCTAGCTAGCGGGGGTGCGGAGGCCACCCTAAACTACACAGTGACACCCTGCTGGGAAAAACAAAAATAAGAAACCAAATAAACCTTAGCGTGTCTAATACTAATTATTTTATTCCTGAAAACTGCTTTTCTTCCTGTGCTCATATTTTGTTATGACATGTTTTATTGGTACAGACTCCCACCTTTCAGATCTTTGGAGCTTTTACTCTTTCCTTGCCTTGCCATCCCACTATTTGGGCCGACCTGATAGCTCAGCGGACTGAAGTGCCTGCTTAGGCAGAGCACAGCGGTCAGGGTTCAATCCCC